CCATACATGTATAAAAAGTAACCTTTATCAATTATAAATTTAAAAAAATATACAACAACTCGATTCAACAATTAAAAAATAAAAACTGAATTAAAATATAACATAAAACTTTTGGAACACATGATGGAGAAGGAAAAAATGGTTTTGCATAATCATTACAGCTTTCTAACAAAATTAAATGCGAATCAACATGAATCATGGACTATATATACAGTGGTAACATCAATAAGACTTTCAATAAAAAACTAAATATTTGAACACATAAACCTTCAAGAAAAAAAGAACTATGGAAATTCTATGGATAACAGAAAATAATACTAAAATCTTAGCAAGATTATATTTCTCTAAATCAAATATATATGTACGTCAAAGTTGGATAATTCAATAGGTGTCATTGTTATTATTTTACATAATAGTTTTTAAAAATTTATAAATAAAAATAGGATAAACTACACATTATATATTAAATTCTCTTATATAAATGAAAATTTCTATAACTATATATAATTTTAAATAATTTTAAAGATAGTAGCTAAAAAAATAAACCAAAATATTAATACAGACTCGCGCGTAGCGTGAGTTATATACCTAGTATAATATATAAAAGTTGATGGCATAGGTGAGGACGTCCACATGGGATTAAAAAACTCGATATGATTGGTCCACAATAGCATATTCATTAAACAAAAATAATGTTAAGTATGGTTAAAACCTTAATTTCGTTTTAAAAATGGAAAAATTAAATAAAAAAGTTAAGTAACAAATAGAAAAGAAAATTATGTTAAAAAAATAAAAAAATAATATCCTTAAAAATAAAATAGAAATTTGTTTTCAAAAGAGTTAAACTAAAAAAAAAACAATAGCATAAAAGTTCAAACTTATAATATAAATTAGGAAAATTCTAACTTCTAAATTAATTGACAAGAAAAGAAAAAAAAATAATTTCATTTTATAGATGGAAAAATCAAAATAAAAAAAAGCTTAAGTAACAAATAGGAAAGAAAATTATGTTAAAAAAAAAACCAAAAACTTAAATTGATATATGTAGATAAAATATTAAAATCAAAGCGTGCATATTGCACACAAAAGATAAAAACAGTGATGCAAAGACTCAATATCACCGATCCTACAAGTTAGAAAACTAAAATTATAAAATATTAGACTGTAAAAAAAAAGATATCGATGAAAACTGAATAGAAGTATAAGCCAAAACTCTTAGTAGACATGGTGGAGAGGGAAGAAATAATTTTGTGTGATCATTGCAACTTCCTAACAAAATTTAATGTGAATCAACATAAATCATGGATTATATATGTAGTGATACACAACATCAATAAGACTTTCAATAAAAAACTACATATTTGAACACATAGACCTTTAAGAAAAAAGAACTATATGAATTCTCTGGTAAACAGAAAAATATCAATATCTTAGCAAGAAAATTTTTCTCTAAATTAAATGTATATGTACGTTAAAGTTGGATAATTCGATATGTGTCACTGTTATTATTTTACCTAATAATTTTCCAAATTTTATAAATAAAAATATGAGAAAATTACACATTATTTATTAAATTCTCTTATATAAATAAAAATTTCTATAAATATATTTTAGTTTTAATAATTTAAAAGATAGTAGCTAAAAAGAATTAAATCAAACTATTAATACAGACTCGCGCGTAGCGCGAGTTATATACCTAGTAATATATAAAAATTTATGGCATAGTGCATTGAGGACGTCCACATGGGATTAAGAAACTCAATCTGATTGGTCCACATCAGCACATTCATTAAATAAAAAAATGTTAAGTATTATTAGGACGGAAAACGTTGATTTAATTGGTCCACATCAGCTTTTAAATCAAACAAAAAATTATTAAGTATAATTAAAACATTAAAAGTTAATTTAACAAATTATGTCCAAAAAAAGAAGTAAATTCAATCTGATTGATCCAAATCAATATATTTATTAAATCAAAAAAATGTTAATATGGTTTAAAATTTTAAAAGTTAAATAAAAAATTAATAATTAACAATACGTGTATAAAAAAGTAATCATTATCAATTATCAATTTAAAAAAATCTACAACAACTCGATTTAACAATTAAAATAATGAAAACTGAATAAAAATATAACATAAAACTCTTGGAAGACATGATGGAGAAGGAAACAATGGTTTTGCATGATCATTACAGCTTCCTAACAAAATTAAATGCGAATCAACATGAATCATGGATTATATATGCAGTGATACACAACATCAATAAGACTTTCAATAAAAAACTAAATATTTGAACACATAAACCTTCAAGAAAAAAAGAACTATAGAAATTCTATGAAAAACAGAAAATAATACCAAAATCTTAGCAAGATTATATTTCTCTAAATCAAATGTATATGTACGTCAAAGTTGGATAATTCGATAGGTGTCATTGTTATTATTTTACCTAATAGTTTTTTAAAATTTATAAATAAAAATAGGATAAATTACACATTATATATTAAATTCTCTTATATAAATGAAAATTTCAATAAATATATATATAATTTTTAATAATTTAAAGATAGTAGCTAAAAAAATAAACAAAAATATTAATACAGACTCGCGCTAGTTTGTAATATAAATTTAAGGATCAATTTATAAAATAACCATATTGGGATTGAAAATTAAGAATATAACTATAAAGAATTAGAAATAAAAAACTAACAAAAATATTAAATTGTATAATTTTTGGATGAAAATATCCTTAATGATTATTTTATTTGCTCGGAAAAGAAAAAAAAATTATAGAAAATTTTATCATTATGCAATAACATATTGTCTATATTATTTTGTAATCAGTTATATACTATTTGTTTTGTTATTTTATCTTGTAAAATAATACAGATTTGTGAAGAGAAAAGAATTGTATAAGTAGAAGGGGAAGGAAGAAAGAAGAAGCAAAAAATATACGTATTTAAGGTTTAGGGTTATCATATGATGTTACCCCACCGTATGTCTTAATCCACTATTAATCGTTGACAATAAATTCATATATTTTAAAACTAAACTTAAACCTACCGAAATTCTCAAATATAAACTAAAGTTATTATGTATATAAAATAACCAAATCATTTAAAACTAAACCCAAGCTACTATATACTATACTCAAGCCCCCGAACTTAAACAATATAATGTTATCCACCGTAATTCTTAATCCGTTATAGACCCCTGAAAATAAACTTACATAATTTAAAACTAAACTCAAGCCATTACTTACTATACCCAAAACCTCAAACATAAACCATATAATGTTATCCACCATAATTCTTAATCTGGTATAATCCCTGAAAATAAACTCACATAATTTAAAACTAAATCCAAGCAACTACTTATTATACCAAACCCCCAAACCTAAAATATTTTGTCTTTCATCCTATATGACTGTGACAAAATAGTATAGCATTATAACAATATAGTAAACAACAATCTTCGTGTAATGCTTTGGAAGAAATCAAAATCGGGTCAGATCTTGCAATCTCAAATTATTTCTTTGCATAATTATTACGATCTCAAATTAATTTGGAAAGCAAAATCATATATATAATTAGCAAGTTATCTCTCCATTTAAGGTGTCTACATCAGCATAATTATATTTTAAAATAGACTTTTAAATATTGTGGATTTTGTTTTAAAGTTTTTATATTTTTGATATTTATTTCTGGGCTTCTAATATAATTAATTTGAAATTAAAAACAAATACTTATTTTACAAATCATAAAAATTACAAATTCTTCATTTGTGAAAAAAAGTTTGGAAGACAACCAAATACAAAAGATTACGGAAAAACCTACAGAAAATAATTAACAAACTTTATAAAAAGAACCTTCGAAAGATTTATATATAAAGCTAAAGTAAAATCACATATAAAGCTATAAAAACTACAAATTCTCTTCAAAATTAAAAATTTAAAATGTTATTTCAAATATAAACAAATAGAATTTGAAAAAAGAGTTGGAAAGTGAACAATTATGAAATATGACAGAAAACTTGCTGAGAATAGTTATCAAGCTTATTTAGAAAGGTTCGTAAGCATTAATGCTTAAAACTAAAGTAAAATCATTTACATCCACTTTATTGTGTAAAATAAAACGAATGAAAGTTTTTCATAAATAAAGAAAAATAAAGAGTTTAATTATATAGCATAAAAATAAATTTGATTTATACGAAGGAGGAAAAAATGGTAAATACTTATCAACCATTTTTTCTCAATGATGGTAATATAAAATTGATATGCGATTACTTTACTCATCAGCCGGATATATGAGTTTTAATATAAAATGTATAAATAAAACAAAACAAGATTATTGATTATACTTCTTAACCTAGTCATGTTGTTTACATTCACATGATATGAAAATAAACAAAATTATTCTTATACACATTCACAAATATAGTCTGGTAGTTCATCATTGAAAAAAGAAAACGCCTCAAATCAGTTAAAATCAACAATTTATCAAGTAAACATAATTTTTTTGATATAAAAACCCATCAAACATATGTAATATTTGAACAGATCTTTTGCTATGTCTAGCCAACTCTAACTTAAATTCACCTCATCTCTATAATATTATTTGAAAAGTCGTTTTTGAGATACTCTAAAAAACGCTTTATTTACAATCTATGCCACTAAGTTAATGAATAATTTCTGTTTGACAACATGTTTATGTAGGGACAAAACCGGCAAGTCAACTGAGTTAACTCAGTGACTCGGTCATACCCGACCCGGAAATATATGGTAAAAGACGCGGATCCTTTTTCTTCTCTTCACTCAAACCGATGGTAATCTTATGAAAGTTTTGTTGGTTTACTTAATAAAATTAATTACCTTCTTAGCAATTCATGTATAATCACTTTGCCACCTCAAATTACGGAGCAAATCATTCCAAATATTAACTTTAATATAAATGAGCGAAAATGAGAATATTTAAACAGAATCTTTAAGTGCAAACAGAAATTAATGTAACTGTCAATATTAGAATAATCAAATATCAATCACAAATCTAGCCTAAAAATCAAGTTGGTGCTTCATAAAATCAAGGAAGAGTATATTCTGCTCATTTCTAAAATGCATTTGTTGAGATCTTCCTATTTACCTTAACCAAACTATCTACTACACTATTAAAAACGTTTATTTGAGAGTAAATTATCGAATATACTAATTTCTAAAATGCATTACTAAGATCTTCAAATGCATTAAAACGAGAATATCTAAAATCTATCAATCCAATTTTTTTTAAAAAACCTAACGCAATGTAGCCATTCTCCACACGTTATAAATACCATTGCCAAGATTGAAAAATATATCTCAAATCCAATTAGCGTGCTTGGGAAAATGGCTTCTGCTTTGCCTTCACTCTTTGTAAGATCCTGCATACATGGAAACAATATACTTTTCAATTAGGAAAAATCATTGAAATGGCTATTTGATCAAAATGTAAGTATATCAATATTACTACATGCGCCTAGGTGGACTATCTTATGTACTATTCTTTTGTTGCTCGATGTCTTGACTTCTGTTCTGAAGTTTTGATGTTGGCATACAGTATTACAGACGCATGTAAGCTTTATTGACTTATTCAATACTCAAATGCATTGTTGTTGTCATTTTTTACTTAATTAGTGTCTTCATACATATACTAAAGTTTAATTCCTCAATTAATTTTGTCTTTTCTTTTTCTCTTACCAGCGGATTGGATTTCATGACCTACATTGTCATAGAAAAATGAGAGTTTCTATTTCGTAAGTGATCTCAACAACCTATATGAATTATGTTATTGATTATGAGCTTTAAGAACAGTACCAGACATAAGCTTTGATAAAAAAAAAGTATCTCTATAAGCTATGTAATTTGCATTTTTTCACTCCGAGATATGCAATTTGCATATAAGCTGGGCTTATTAATTCCTTTAATTCTCTATTTACTCAGGATCAACATATGTTGCATTTGATGCTTCTCAAGATAACAAACATACCTGTTCCTGTAAGAATTACTTCACTGCTAATAACCAATTAAAACTCGAAATCTGAAAGTATGTAAAAAGAAAGCTGAATAAAACATGTTATACTTAGACAGTTATATGAGTCAATGGAGCTAACATGCGTATGGAACATCAAAAAAGTATTTCTAAAATGATTCTCTAAGACACGGAGACTACAAGTTCACTAAAACATTTTTCCAAAATTGCAACAAAAGATCCAGCAGAAGTTTTTTTGTCACAAATAATAAATAAGTTGCTTACCTCTTCGTATGTGTCTCTACAAGGCTTTATAGGAGCATGCAAAGGTTTCTCAGAACTGTGGCACACCTAACAGAGTGCCTAATTGATCGGATCTGGGCTTCTTGGTGTTGCGGGTTGATTCCTTTGAAAACGAGAGTGCGGCTGAAAATCGGATGGATGTTTTTATGAACTTAGGGATAGTTTTTGACGGGAAAACCATATCTCTTTTTTCATTTCAACTGGGTTTAATGGAACTAGGGCTGAGAAAAAGAGATTTTTATTCGATTGATCAGCAAAAGGTGAAGGAGGTTGGTGGAATATTCATTTAGTTGACGGAGTGACTTACTTGGTTTGGTAATTGATCGGATCTGGGCTTCTTGGATATCATTTGTTTCTATTGGATTCTAAATGTTTTCTAAAGGTTCTTTACATAGGTCTTTAGTGTTACTTCTGTGATTTACTTTGGATTATTTGTAAACAGTAAACACTTTTTGCTATATATATAATTTTTTGTGCAAAAACACTTTTTGCTATATATATGCAACGGAACTGTTCCAAAATATTTTTGATAAAGTATGAAATGATAAAATAAGAGATGAGAATTTTGCATAACAGAAAGGGTTCATGAATCATTATTTGAATTCTCATAATATGAATAAAGATAGATTTTAAAATGGGTGAAGATCGATTTTGAGATGAATAATCTGGTAATTTAGATATTTTTGAGAAATTTTACAAATTCTTAGGAAAATTTCTATAATTACTAAAAAAAATTAAAAATATTAAATTGAAGGAAAATAGATAATTCTGTTAAGAATTCTAATCAAGTCAAATATATTAAGATTTTCGGATTGTATTGATAATATAAAAAACAAAAAAATAAAATAATACTATTCCATTTTGAGAACAGATGAAAATTTAGCAAAGTATATAATACATATATACCAACAATAAAATTTAAAGGATTTCAATATCTTAGCAAAGTAGCAAAGTATATAATACATGTTAAATAATATCTATACATATTATATTATATTTTATATTTTGTCATTATAATATATATATTATTATTTACTATATAAATTATATTTGTGTTGTAGGTTCCGAGCAAAACACAAAATTTTCATTTTTTTAATTCATAAATTAGAATTAAAAAAAGAGAACGAAGAAGAAAATAAATGCAAAAAGAATAATAAAAGAAGAACAAAGAATAAGAAAAAAAGAATTATAATTATGAAATATTTATCCGTTTTTCTATATATTATATTTGAAATATATATCCCACATTTTATAAAACTAATATTTAACTAATAGTTAAGACGATCACTCAATCCAACATTTCAAACAACAAATGTTTTTATTATTCAAACTATTATCTATAAACAAATTACAAAATATTTGTCTGTACGGACGCACAAATTTCGGGGTATATAGATATATTATACAAATTATTTACATATATCTTTTATATCAATATAATGTTTTAAAATTTCTAAAAAATTAGAAACGATATGAGATAAATTAAAATAAGTTATATTTAATGGGTTTAAAATATAGAATTAAAAAAATAAGTGAAAATTTAGTAAAACATATAATAAATCTATACCAAAATAACACATCACATACAAAAAATGTATTTCTCTTGCAAATCAAATTGAGAATCATAAAAGAATGTAATGGACGATATTGACAAGATGAAATTTTGATTAAAAAATACATAACTCCATTCATAAACATAATTAACTCAAATGTAGCTGTATTTATAGGTTGTATGGATACATTATACAAAACAAAAATATAGTTAATCTCATATAGAAATGTATTTCTATTTGAAATCAAAATTCAAGATCAGAAATAGAATGTAATGGAATGAATTTGACGAGATTAAAATTTTGATAAAAAGTAGATATGTTCATTAACCTAATTAACTCAAATATAGCAGGATTCGGGTTGAATCAATAATATATAAATAAAAACAAATTAAAAAATAGTAACACGTTTTCCTGGTAAGTTAAAATTTAGTAATGCATGTAATACATGTGCACCCAAATTTTTTTAATAATTTCTATATTAGTTTCTATATTATCGGGATTTTCGGGTTGTATAGATGCATTATACAAATCATTTACATTTATCAACTATATTTGTTGAATTTTTTAACTTTCTTACATAACTTCTTATTTTATAACAACAACTAACAATAATTTGAATTTCATATTTTATTTTATATAATCAAATTATCATTATTTGTTTTTCTTACAAATTATAAATCTATTCAATTTTAAATCAAATTCTCAACTATAACAAAATATAATTGTTAAATGATATAATAATTATAAATACAGAACTACTAACTTAAAACAAATATCACACTCAAACGAACCAAAATACCATTCATAAATAATACAATGTTCTGATTCTAACAAACAATTAAACCACTCAACAAACATACCCAGCTAATATATTAATAATATAGAAAAAAACTAAACTTTTAAATAAAACTTATATTTAAACAATTAAAAAACAAATTATCCCGCACGTAGAGCAGGCTAAATCCTAGTTTAGAGTTATAACTGATCCCATAACTGAATGAGATGGAAGCTTGGATGAAATAAGAGAAAAAAAACCAGTAGATTGCAATTAGAATAGAGAGACTAAAAGCTATAAGGAGGAAAAAGCAAAGGACTAATTGTGCTTAAAAATGAGTTAGATTTTTTGAAAATCGATAAAAAATTAAAGAAAACATTTAGTTTGGAGTGGGAAATGATCGATGATGATTTCACTTTGTTGATCTATGAAAATAAGATGTAAAAAAATATGAGAAATCAATTGAATACAAATAAACAGTAAGAACACATACTTATTGCAGTATATAAATATATACAATATAGAGAAAAAATATATAAAATATTTTTTTAACAATTACTACATCATAATCTATATAAAAAAAACATTACAATATAGATATATATATATACATTAGGACAACAACAAATTTTAAATATAAAAGACAAATATAACACACAATAATATTAATTTAATATATATATATAATACTAATATAAATATATAAAATTTTAATCAAATTAATAAATAAATCTGTGCAACCCGCAGATAAAAATCTAGTCTATCAAATACAAAAGAACATAATCAATGTACTATACTATAAATGTGTTGTTATACATTGAAATAGTATTCAATTTTATGTTGAATCAAATGAACCTAAATAATTTAAAGCTAAATTCAAATTATAACAAATTTTATATATGCATCACTAATGTGATTAGTTCCAACAAATACGTATATATTGTCTTTGAACTAAAATAAAACTCATGATTCTTATAATACAAATGCCGTGAATACCACCATGTAATTAAGCAAAATACTAAATAGTATAGTACAAAACTCATGATTACTCATAATAAAACAATAATATAGAACAGTGAATACTAGAGATGTCAGACGGGCCGGTCCACGTCCAACTGGGCTTGTCCATAGCGGGCTTAGTTTTTTTTTGTCCGTGCAGGTTGGTCCGCTGCGGACTGCAGACAAGAACTATATGCCCAAGCCCGCCCCACTCTTATTTAGCGAGTTTGCGGGCTAGCCCGCGGGCATATTTTTTTAATTTGGTTTTTGGATCGATTTGTGTTACCAACTTAGAATGTAAACAAAACGATAACTAATGTGTAATAGAAAAGCAAAAAGCAGCAACATAATGTTTTGTAAAACCACAAATATAAAGTAAACACCAATTATAACCAATCTGAGAAGAGGTCATCAAAAAAAATTCAAACTGAAACTTTTAAAAGCAATTCAAAAAGCAACAACTAGCAAAAAGTCATCAAAAGAAATTTAAACTGAAATTGTAAAAATCCGAGAAGCAACAACACATACTAGTTTTGCATATCACTCTTCATCATCATAAATTGATTCGAAAGAAGGGATATCTTCTTCACTATTGTACTTTTCATCCTCCTCTACATATGTCAAATAAAAATAAAGTTAGTATACAACTTTGAAGCTTTAGTTGTAGACATATGGTACTTTCAAATATGATTTTCTTTACCATTTTCATATGCTTCAAAACCTTTTAACCAATTGCGACTGCATATCAAAGCTTGCACATTTTTTGGAAGAAGTCGGCTTCTGTACTTGTTCAAGACTCGAGATCCGATGATAAAAGATGATTCTGAAGCTACAATTGCGATAGGAATGCTGAGTAGATCACAAGCCATTGAAGCCAATTGACCATATTTTTGAGAGTTATCTTTCCAATAATTCAGGATGTTCATACTCTCATGACTCGTCATATCTAAGGCCGGTTCTTCAAGATACATTTCCAGCTTAGATTTTCTACTAACAACAACATGTGTCTTGCGAAAGGCCAAGAAATCCTGAAATCGAGAAAAAAACAGAAAACTTAAAAACAATATATATCACTTATTGGATTCTTCTAAAAACTAATTGCAATAAAATTGTATTGACCATAAGTAGTGATTAAAACATAAACATTCGAAAGCTACTGAATGTGCATTATCTAAAACATCATTTAATTTGTAATAAGGTCAACCATGCTTCACAAATCTAACATATAAAGATACTTACATCATAGTTGTTGAAGCTCCCTTTAGATTTTCCAGCATCTGTGTTTTTTTCTTCAGTTTCTCGAGGTTGTGTAGCTGATGAGATCGACTTCGGCTTGTCCTCATATGATTCAAAAAGTGTTCGCAGCTTCTCACGCAAGCACTCCATCTTTCTTTGAAAAGATACTCTATTAAGCTGAGTAAAACAGAATTCTACCAGAGTAAGCGTCAGCCGTGAATCAAAGATGCTTGCCATTGCAAAGATGTCACTCACTTCTTCCCAGTATTTATCAAACTTCTCATGCGTCGGTATGATAATTTCTCTCACAACTTCATCTCTGCTTCTTTTATTTACTTTCAGCCAATTCTGGATTTTCCAAACTTGCATAAAATACAAATTAGAAGTAGGATATGTCGAACCTGACATTAGCCGACATCAAATGGCGTTAAGTCACACAAGTCCTTTAGTCTGTTCCATTCACTTTCTGAAGTATTAACCTTGAAGTTTCCCCCATCTATCTGCTGAAGATAACTAAATGCATCACGATGGTCAATAGCTCGAGCAAGCATCTTATATG